CCCCCGCCCCCCGCCTGGGACCTCGGAGCAACAAGCCCCACGTTGTTCCGAATGGCCCAGGCTGCGGGGACACTGGCTCTTTCCCAAGACCCGCTGGCCTGCTGATGGTTCTGTGAGCCATTCAGGCTGGCAGGCTGGGGGCGGTAGCGGAGGCAGGGCCTGGGGGCTCCCACCTCCCCCTTTCAGCTCTGAGCTGCCAGCCAGCAGGAGGGAGAGGCAGAGGGCATCCTTTGTGGAAGAGGCCCCCAAACAGGATGCTCAGGCGTCCCCCTGCCCGGCCGGCAGCCCTCCAGCCTCAGCTGTCCCCAGATCCTAGCTTCACCTCAGTGCACCCCAGGCCCCCTTCCTTCGTCCCATAGGAAGCTCCTGGTGCATCCAGGATGGGGGGGTTGCAGGGATGGCAGAGAGACAGTGGGGGTGAAAAAAGTTGCAAGCCTGCCTTTGGCCCCTTGTCCAACCTGCCCCCCCCCCTTTAAGTTTCTACAGACAAAGCTGGGGCTTCAGTCACTGTGGCAACACGTCTGCTGAGAAATGGGTGGGTGTCCCTCCCCAGCACAGAGGGCCCGCCCGGGCAGCCGTCGCCTAGCAACAGCCTCCCTCCCTCTTGGCGTCACCAGCCTGGGGGTGGGTTCCAGGGAGTGAGAACAAGGCTGTTCAGATCCCAGGAGAGGCTTGGGTACAGGGCAGGCTGCGGCCAAGGGGTGTGGGTGGGGTGGACAGAGGACAGCGGTGCCCAGGGCCCTGGCACCTGCCCCGCACCAGCTGGGCCCTGGGGACCCTCTGAGGCCCATGCAGCTGTCCTGGGTAGGACCCAGAACCTCACAGCAGATAGCTGGGCTTATGGGGCAGGGAGTAGCCGGTGGCCTACGCTGAGTGTCCCTTTTGCTGGACATTGCGCCAGTTCTCTAGGCTAACAGGGCTAAGGGAGCCTTTGGAGGGGCCCCAGAGGGAGACCCAGAGGCGGGGTGGGGGGGCGGTGATGCCCAGGGCAGGACCAGCTGCAGGAGCTGTGGGAAGGGAGTGTGGGGGGCAGGGTGGGGTCAGGCAGGGGACAGGCAGCTAGGCTGTTGCCCTAACTGAACGACAGGGGCTCCCAGCGGGCACCCCCCACCTGGGAAGGCCCAAGCGCATGTGGGCGCTGCCAGGATGTGGCCTGAGGAAGTCCAGTGGGCACAGGGTAGTTCCACCTAGTTTATTGTTTTTCAAAAGGCCTTCTATGGGGGTGGGGGGGCACCTAACAAGGGGGTGAGGATAGGACGACCCAGGGTCGGTCAGAGGAGGAGGGAGGGAAACCCCCGGAAAGACACGGCACCAGGAGGAGGAGGCGTCCAGGGAACAGCCAAGGCGGCTGGCCTCCCGGGAGCCCCCGTCCTGGGATTGGTGGGGGCAGGGAGATAAGGCCTAGCGGGGACACGGCGACCGTGGAGCCAGGCGCCAGGCAGAGGCGGCAGTGGGGCTGGGCAGTGGGGCAGACCTGCGCGAGCTCTGGCTCCCAGCTGCTGGGACAGTTTCTGGGCAATTCTAAGGACCTAGAAGCTTTGCTGCCCACCAGGAAGAGGACAGGGGGGCCTGCTGGGGTTGGGGCCTGGCCATGCCCAGACCGCAACAGGAGGGACCCGTCCACCTCGCCAGACCAATGGGGACAGAAACACGGGACAGGCTGGGGTGGCCGCCCCCTGCTGTCCCCCTTGCCCATGTCCCAGGCCTCCCGTGGGGCCTGGCCTTAGCAAGGCGTGCCCAGGGGCAGGAGCGGGGGCGACTCCCTGGGCTTGTGGAAGTAGATGGACGATGACATCTCCGTCTTGAGCTTGCTATTGGAGCTGGCAGCCGAGGCGCCCCCACAGCCCTCGCAGCAGCAGCAGCAGCAGTCCAGAAAGGCCTGGCCCAGCGGCCTGCACACACACAGCAGCAGAATCGGGGTGACGGCCCCCTTGAAGAAGGCGGAGAACTGCTGGATGAGGCCCAGGAGGTCCAGCGTCTGGCGGGTCAGCCCGGGGGAGAGGTAGGCCAGCACGACGTTGCACACGTTCTCGGGGAGGGTGCAGAGCGCGTAGACCACGGTCAGCCCCACCACGGTGCTGTTGAGCTGCCTCTCACCTTGCTCGTGTTTGCCTGCCCGGCACGGTGGCTCCCTCCCCGGGGGGCCGCGCACGCGCCACGTCACCAGCTGGCAGGTGACCGCGAAGAGGATGGGCAGGCAGAAGTAGCAGCCGAAGAACCACCACATGCGTGCGTTCTGATAGGTCATCACCAGCGAGTACAGGGACTCGGGCAGGCTGGCCGAGGGCTTCATGACGCACGAGTCCACGGTGCCCATGCTGGGGGCCGACTCCCGCACCAGCTGCCACAGCAGGAGCTCCGGGACAGCCAGTGTCATGGAGCCCACCCAGATGACGGCCAGCTTGGCCACGATGGATTGGCACCGCTCGATGGGCCGCAGCTTGGGCAGCGTGCTGGTGGCCACGTGGAAGCGGTCGATGCCCAGGGCGCAGAGGCTGAAGGTGGTGACCCCCAAGGAGGAGACCTGGGCAGAGACCAAGGGGGAGAAGGAAGCTGTGGTCAGACCGGGGGCCGGAAGACGCCTGGCCTCGGGGGCTGGGCAGTGAGCGGGGGGCGCATACGTCACACACGCCAGGCACTTCCTGTGCGTCGTCAGGTCCTCCCAGCCAGCCCCCTTCACAAGAAGAGACTGTCCTCGGGCAGTGACCTGGGGGTGGCAGAGGTGAGGGCCACTCGCAGCAGGTGGCCTGACTTCCCACAGCTCTGGGCCTCTCGGCTGGGGGAGTGTTGGCCCCACAGGCCCACAGGCTCCCCGAGACTCGGGAAGCAGCTCTAGGCAATGAAGACAGAGACCCCAAAGCTCTGGTGTTTGCAGGTCGTTCCATTCCTGCCCCCATTATGTGCATGGAGTGCGTGGTCTCAGGAACGTGGCTCACACACACACGCGCGCACACACACACGCACACTCACACAACACACTGACACACACACACACACATACACATGTACACACATACATTCATGTGCACACTCACACGCACACCCACACACATGCACACTCATGAGCACTCACACAGCACAGTGACACACTCACAAGTGGACATGAACACATTCACACACTCACATGCACACACATGCACACGCACACATGCACACTCACACACACGTGCACACACACTCACACTCATGTACACACAACACACTGACACATTCACACACACACCTTCACACTCACACGCACACACATGCACATTCACATGCACACACACACTCAAGTACACACATAACACACTGACACATTCACACTCACACGCACGCACACACACTCATGTACACATGCACACTCACGCACACACTCTCACCCTCTCTGCAGAAGGCCAGGCCTGGCTGTGCGGGGAAGCGGCCTGTGCCCACCCTCCCCGCGCGCGGTCACTGAGCCCACAGGGAAATCGTCCTGTGAGCCAAGAGGAAGCTGCCAGGGAGCGGGGAGAAAGTGCCAGAGAGAATAAAGACGGGGCCGCCCCGACCACACAGGGCTTGTGCTCAGATCCCCCTTCTGTCCACACTGTCCCCTCTCCGGCTGGGACACAAGCCACAGCTCATTAGCACGGCCACCACGTGCACTTTGTGAGGCGCCCCCGGCCCCCCCAGGAGAAGCCTCGGGCTAAGAGAGAAGCCCCAGCTCTCCCGCATCTCAGAATATCTCGTATCATTACCGAGGCCCCCATAAAAGGGTCGGGGGCCCTGCATTTTGTCCCTTGGGGGAGGGGCTCTGCCAGCTCCTGGATGACCTCTGTCCCCCAGGAAGTGTGTGGGGCGGCTGGGAGGGTCCAGGCCAGAGCCTTTGTACCAGGCGTGCTGAGGCCCACAGTCAGGCAGGGCCAGGCTTTCGCTGACCAGCCACAGGCAAATAAGGTCCATGTGTCTGCCCTGCCCCCCTCCTGCGTTTAGACTGCTCCCCGGTAAGGACCGCCATGTATGGAGCTACTTTAATCTAAGCACTTTATCCTAAGCACCACTTAATCCTTCAAGAATGCATTCGGATAGCTATGGTTATTATTATTATCACCCCCAATTTACAGATGAGGAAATTGGGGTTTGGGTGGGAAAGGAACTTACAAGGCCACTCGGCTCTGAGGGCAGAGCCTGGGTTCCTAAGTCCGGTTCCAAAGTCCGGTGTGCAGCCCGCTATGCTCACCTGGGTACCGAGCGGGCAGGATGACTGCCATTCAAAGGCTCTCCCCTTGTGAGGTCTCCTTTCAGGTCTGAGGTCTGGGGGCCACCACTGGGGGCCTCCCTGGGTTTGGAAGGACAGGTAAGGGCTGGACCAGCGGCTGAGCCTCCCAGACTCTCCAAATACGAAGTCACCGCTAATGGTCAGAGAGGGGACAGACCCGAGACCAGCACCTGTGTCCTCACGCCCAGGCCTGGCTCGCTCTCCTCCCAGGCACGTCACCACGTCACACAGTCTCCCTCTCAGCCGGCGCGGGGGGCCTCAGTCAGGGGGGGTCTCATGACTGCACCCCCCACGGCCAAGACTCAGAGGCCACTTGCTCGCTTGGGCTCCCTACAGGCTCAGCGGCCCTGCTACGTGTCACACACGCGCGCTTATCAGTATATTTTTGCAGCCGCGTCTCTGTGACCCACACACCCACCAGCACCCATGTGCTTGTCTTAAGGTGGCAGTTCCTGGAGCTGAGGACAGGGGACACTTGAGGGCTGCAGACTAGACCAGCGGGAAGGGCCGTCCGGTCCACTTCCCTGGTGGGGAGATAAGGGAACTGGGGAGATGTGAGCTGCCCAGTGACACCCAGCGTCAGTGACTCAGCTGGCACGAGAGCCCCTCCCCCAGGTCCAGCGCAAGACCAGGACCAGGACCAGGACTGCCCATCAGACAGGACTTCGGAGGTGCTGGTGCTGTGACAGGGTGACGCGGTCACAGTGAGGCAGGCGCTCGCAGGCACGGGGAGCGGACACTGAGTGAGCTGGGGGTCTGTAGGAGACTGGGGTCTCCCTGCGGACGCCGCTTTGGGAGGCAGCATATTGAGGGTAAAGAAGGGGCCGGGGGTGCTGGGCGGTGGTGGGCACAGGGGACGTAGAAGGAGACACGAAGGGCAGAGCAGTTTCCTGGTTGAAAGATGGCGCGGGGTTCAGGCAGGCAGAGGGCAGCCAAGCACAGACGAAGGGGCGCGACCCGCCTCGAGCTGCCCCCACCGGGAGGCCACGCCGGGCCGGGACCCAGGGCCCGCACACCTGCCCACTCCTCTCGGCCTGCCGACTTCAGCCGGGAGCTACCAGGGATCGATGCCACCCGGTGCCCTTGCCCAGCTTGGAGGAGGAGGAGGAGGATAGCGCCCCAGCCCCTGGGGTCCTGCACACCCTCGCACCCCCCCCCGCTGCCGCCCACTAGGACACACTCACCTCCACAAAGGGCACGGCGCGGCAGGAGACGTCCCCCAGCAGCCTCTGCTTGGTGAGCTCATTGAAGATGACAACAGGGAGGCAGAAGAAAAGCACCAGGAAGTCCCAGAGGGCCAGGCTGGCGAGGATGGAGTTCCAGGCGCTCTTCAGGTGGTAGCTGTGCCACACGACGCACATGACAGCCAGGTTGCCCACGATGCCCACAGCGAACACCAGCAGGGCCAGCAGCACAGTGGCGTAGGCGCCGTAGGAGCCCTCAGTCACGGGGTACAGGGGGTTCTGGATCTGCAGCCTCTGACCCGGCGTCCCCGTCAGGTTGCCCCGTGGCTCCGACCCGCTGCCCGGGGTGCCCCCATCCGCATCTGGGTTGGGGCTGGTGGCCGAGGGCTTGGTGGGCTGCAGGCCAGCGGGGTGCACGGGCGGGGGGCGCTCAGCCCACTCCTCGGGCACGTACTGTTGCACCCCCCTGGCCTCCTCGTCCTCGGTGCCTCTCTTGGGCCGGCTCTGCTGCTCAGGGGCCTCGGCTCTGCGCCTGCTGGGGTGCAGGGGGGCACCCCCAGAGACTCTGCTCAGCCCCGCAGGCGACACCACAGCAAGAGAGATGGCCAGAGGCCACAGCCACCGCATGGCCGGACGAGCAGGAGGCAGCTGCTCCACGGAAAGCAGGTAAGGGCCGGGGACCCGGCACCCGGCGGACTCAAAAGAGGCAGCTGGCTGCTTGGTCCGCCCCCAGTCAGGCGTCTGGCGTCGCCAGCCCGCTCCAGTGGCCTCGAGCTGCTCCCTCCCACCCCGCCGGCCACGGGCTGGGCAGGGCCCTCTGCTGGACACAGAGCATTCTTTGCTGCCCTCCAGGATTCTCCTCCTCAGGCCCCCCCCAGAGCAACAGCATGTCAGACCTGCCGGTCCCCAGAGGCCACCCCCTCTAGCCCCTGAACCAGAGGGGACATGGCTTGCCTGGGGTCCCACAGAGAGCAGGGGCAGGGCCGGAACTGAGGACCCCACCTCAGGAGACAGTCCCAAGGCAGCCCCTGCGCTGGAAACCAGACAGCAACGCGCGCTGTCACCCCTGAGCTCTTACGAGGCCCCTTTCCGCCTCACAGCAGCCCTGTGGGGTGACAGCCCCGAGGCTGCAGAGCGAGGCCAGGAGCTTTTAACTCGATGCTGTTGTCAGCAGGTGCGCGTGCTCTGGGGCCTCCTGACGGCACAGAGCAGAGCGATCGAAAGCCTAGAAGACCACATTCTGATCCGGGTACAGGGGGGTGCACATGTGCAAGAGCAAATGCTGACTGAGAGGCTGCTGTGTCCCAAGACGTCCAGTGTACAAGAGTGGCTTGTCTAGGACACCTCCTGACTGGGAAAGCCACCGTCCCACCCAGAGGCGCCCGACACGCTGTGTGACAGGGGAGTCCCAAGGAAAGAGAAGAAAGGGGACAGACTCACCCACCCTCTGACAAGGGAAGGGGAGCATTTGGAGCCCTTTAAATTTTCACCTTTCTGGCTCCCTTTTGTGGGGACAGGAGACCCAGGCGGCTGCAGGACTGGGCTTGTCTGGGGTGCAGAGCATCACAGGGAAGCCACAGAGGTCCATCCAGAAGTCAGATCAACCAAGGGCTCAACGGTCCCCTTCACTGCCACCAGCAAGCCGGCCCCCATGGCAGGGGAGAGGCCAGGACTCGCGCCCCCATGTCCCACATCCTCGGGAAGGGGTGCTGGAAGGACCATAGCAGATGCGAGGACCACCCACCCTCATTCTGAGCATCACGGGGTCCGTCCGCAGAGCTGTGCGTCCCTAATCTTCCCACAGAGCTGACCCCCGGACTGAGGCGGGTCCTGCCCCCCAGCAAACTCCATGGCACTTAGATGGCTGTCACCGAAACGCACCAGCTCCCACCTTGAGGTGTGGCCTTCTGGGCAAACAGAGTCATCACCGCCAGCATTTACCAAGCCCTCACCAAGGGCCGACCCTGTGCTAACCTCCTGCTGTGATCTCCACATGACCACCCAGGCTCAGAGAAGCACCGTGACGTGTCACCCTCTGCTCATTTGCACTCACGAACATGCCTTTGTCACACCACAGAGTCCCTCGCACAGAGAGGGCTCGGGTGACCCTGGTCCCTGAGGGGGCACTGCTGTGCTGTCCCCTGGGCTTCCTTGGTTCTGTGGGACGGTTGGAACGTCAGAGGCCACTAGGTGGAAGCAGACATTCAGTGACAGGGTTTCAGGCCATCTTCACGCCACTGTCCCCACCCATCCTGGCTGCCCAGGCCCGGCCCCAGACCTCTGGACCCGGCTGAGGGGCAGCCCGGGGACGCCAAGGGTCATGGGGGTGTGCTTGCCACGTCACGCCACCTCTGCTGAGGGTGCCCCGCACGGGTCCCCGAAATGTCCCCCTGTCCCCGCTTCTGCTTCAGGAAGAGCCCTCTCTCTGGACTAAGCTCGAGGCAGGCCCCCAATCTGGAAGGACGTCGAGCCTCTCCTGTCCTTGGGACTGTCTCTCCAAGATCGCAGGAATTCCCCCTCCTTTTCCCTGGGAATGTCCCCACGGCTGGCTGCAGGACAGGTACTTAGGTGGGACCAGGTGGGACAGAGGCTGGGGCTGTCCCCTGGCACTGAACCAGGTGAGGGCCTCTGGGCGGATGTGCAGGTGCCACCCAGGAGGACACACTCTGCTGGGTGATGCCAGGCGCCCGCTAAGAGCTGCCTCTGGAACCAGACTGGCTGGACTTCTCGCCTCGGCGGCTGTGCCCCCACTGGTTGTGTGTGTGTGTGACTTTGCTCACGCGCCTGACGTCTCTGCGCCTCCGTTTCCCCACCTGTACCGTGGAGGTAACAACAGCCTTATCCCGACGATGGGCTGAGCTCGCCCTGGGATCTGGGAAGCAGGTGACCCCGTCACCAGGACACCCTCGGCACACGGAAAGCACTGCTCAGGTGTGAGCGACTGGCTGCGGAGACCCGTTTCATTCTGACAAGCACTTGTGAGGCCGGCACCACCATCACCTACACACTTGGAAACAAGCACCGAGAGGCAGGCCGCACATTCTGGGACAAGCCTGGCCCCTGCCAGGGCGCTAGGCCTGGATGGGGACATCCCTTGGCCTGCAGCTGGCACCACGCCAGGGCTAGGGGAGGTGAGGACACCCAACCCGGTGCATCCTCTGTGCCAACTCTGCCTGCTCTGGGCTCCTGGGCCCAGGGCACTGGGACCTGGGGATCTGGGACCTGGTGCCAGCCTGCTGGTAGCTAGCCGTGTGATGCCATTCACTCAGTTTACAAATGCTGCGTGAGCTCCTGCTGTGTGCCAGGCATTGTCTGAGACACACGGGAGACAGCGGGCCCCACGGGCACGACCTCTGCCCTCCTGGAGTTCCCGTTCGACTGACGGAGGCGGCGCCTGAGACCTGAACCCCAGATGGCATGGCTGTGGCTGTGGGGACGCCTCACCGGAAAGAGGGACAGGGACGCCACGGGGCCTCTGGGCCTTGCGGTCCGCTCGGTAAGGGTGAGTCTGACCCGGGACCTGCGGGGCCACGAGGATGCTGTCACGTGAATGATGGGATGCGGAAGCTTTAAGGTAGGACTCCTGCCGTAACCTAAGCCAGTGGTCCTCACTGCGGTGCCGGGGTCACCGGCGGTAGGAAACCCATCTGAAATGCACACTCCCAGGCCCACTGCTCTCTGCCCGGTCAGAACGGGGTGGGGAGGCACGGTCGTGTTCCAGCATATTCTCCCGGGGATTTCGGATGCAGGCAGGAATTTGATGGTGGTGGGGAATGAAGGGGGGTGGGGGTCCTCTGCAAAGCCTTGGGGGGCAGCTTGCAGGAGGGGACGGAGGGAGGGGACACTGGCCCGGGGGCTCTCAGACCACGTACTCACTGAACTCTGCTGAGCCGGGCCGTCTTCCCGGCTGCGTTCTCAGTGCCTGGCGTCAGTAAATGCTTGATGTGCGTGTGTAAGAAAAAAAGAATAAATGAATGGTAAGAAGAGGTCCAGAATTGCTCTCCAAATCCTACCTGGCCCGTGACCCCTAAATCCCTTCAGTGAAGGGGGGGGTGAGGAAGCCGAGACTCACAGCCCCCCCTCCAGCCCCCTCCTGGGCGTCTCACCCTCGCTCTTCCCGGGGTGGCGGCCGGCTCCCCGACAGCGTGTGTTCCAAACACGTCAAGCCTGTCCTCACTCCTGCGGCACAGCTGCGGCCAGGCTGGCGTGTTCAGGCACGGGAATGGCTGCCACACTGGAGTGTTACAAGGAACCCCACACTCTGGCCTGCACGGTGCCACCTGCCGTCCAGATCCCAGGGCTCCCGGGGGACACCCAGCCCCAGGTGCTCCTCTCTCTGGGGGGCAACGGGGACCTCTCCTGCTCACCTGGGGACTGCCCTTGGGGTTAGGATTCCCCAGCCAGCACCCTTTTAATAGCTTTCAGGACCCCACTGGTTGGCCCCATCAGAAGAAAACCCTTAATTTGTATGAGACAAACACACGGCAGGAGCGGAGGAAGCCGCGTTGGTGTTTGTTTAACAAATGTTTACTGAGCGCCTGTTATGTGCCAGACACCTACTTAATATGCAGAAGCATGTGTTACTGATGACGAGCCGCCTGTTTGCACTCCTCCACTGACGGGGAGGTCACTACCACCCGAGGCACCTGTTCCCGGTTTAGATGGCTATACTGATGTGGACGTTGCTCCTTTATTAGAAATGTGACGCCAGAGAAATCCACCCATTGGCTCTGGTTCTGACCCAGGTGTGAGAGGCGCTCAGCAGACGTAAAACCAACCCCGTGAAGAGCAGCCGGCAGGTGGGAGGAGGGGCGAAAGTTCCAGGCCGGAAGGTGGGTGGTGGTGGGCAGACAGGATGATTCCAGAAAACCTGGCCGCGCGTGGCCTGGCGTGTCACCCCGCGGACGGAGGGCGCCTGGCCCCGGGTCACACACCGGGCAGTCGAAGAGCCGGGCAGAGGTGGGGTGAGGCTGCAGGCGCTGGGAAAGCCACAGAGGGCAGTCCCCGTCCTTCCCTGCCTGCCCCTCCCCAAGTGACCTTAGGCACGAGGTACCAGCGTCCCTGACACACTGGCCTGTTCCCTCCAGAAACCTCGACTGGGGTCTCATCCCCGAGCAGAGAAGGGTGGGCGGGAGGGTCCTGGGGCCTGGGGCCTGGTTCTAAAGCCCTGAGGGGGTGGGTGGGGAGCCAAGCCCCAGGCTGACGTGACACCAGCCAGGGGAAGTGGGAAAAGCCACCGCAGTTTCTGTTTAAGGGGTGACTGGGGGGTGAAGCTCTGGACGTGGAGCAGCCCCAGCTGCCTGGCCCCTGAGCCCCGAGCCCCCTGCCCTCAGGAGCTGGCACCAGTCGCCAGCACCCCTCTCGCACCCCAAACCTCAGGGAGCACAGCAGGACACACAGATTACTCATTGCCAGTTGCCTTGGTCGTATCCTTTCTGCTTTCTTGCCCGTGTCCTGACCGAAGCTGCCAGCCAGACCTCAGCACAAAAGAATGCAAAGCGGGGAGGAGGGCTGAGCCTCCCCGGGCAGGCAGCCTCCGCGGAAAGGCGGCTGCACGGCTACCGGACACAGCACAAAACTGCACTCCCACACGTGACCGTTCCTTTACTTCCTAGCTGTGTGGCCTCAGCGCTCAGGACTGCGCGTGAGGGTGGTCGCACACCTCCAGGGTTGCTGGCCATGGGATCAGGTAGCCAAGCGGCCTTCCTGACACCGTGGGGGCTGGACAAGGCTCAGCCCCCTTCCTCCGTCCTGAAGCACCCTCCCCGCACCCTCCGCCCCCCTGGCAGCACTCCTCAGGGCACCTCGTGCCCGTGAAGCACAGCCC